GTCAATGCACCACTGTATAATTAAATTTTTAACCATCCAGAGAGTGCATTAAGTGGTATATAAGCAGCCCATTTTGCTTTGCAACTCCCATCGTCCCTGATCACCGGGCGTATTGACAGGTGCTGATGGGAGCTGGAGTCTAGTATCTGGAAGGCAACAGGCTCCTCACCAGATCCAGGTCCCAGGTTTGGGGAGGAGAGAATTCAAGCCAGCTTTCCATCTGAATGGGCCCACTGCCCTGCATCACTGTTGCCATCGCCGCATGAAATGGTTAGAAATAGAATGGCTACAAAATCCCCTCCACAGAAGGATCCAAATATATGCATCAGCTCAAGGGATCCCACTGCCTGAGCCAATACAAATGCGTTCATTGCAGAAAAAAAGTAGACACCTCAGAACAGTGGAGGGGAAAAATTGAGATAAAGGGTGTGTGGGGCAACTTCAGGTTGATTCATTCCAGTTCCAGAGCAATTCTGATATTATTTGCCACTGTTGCTACGACTTCAGTGCCAAGGATACTGTAAAGCACAGCAAAACCTCTGTTGAATTTGGTTATCTTGGGAAATGTTAAAAAAAAGTAGAATTTGGGAATCATATAACAATTAATTAATACTCTTATGGCCTGCATAGTTTGTGTGATAAGAAGAATAATGCTGGCAGGGATTTCTGTTACTGTGTTGTTTTCTGCATTTCTCACCTGCTGTATTTTTCATGTGTAAATTCTAGTTGATTCCATGCCTCTTACCTTTCAGAAAATTACGCTTACATGCCTTTTTTGTATATTTATTTAAAGCAACACAGTCCTGCTTTCATTTGTTTGTTTAGGATTTAAAATGCTTCTAGAGTTTCCAAATACATGGTAATGTTCAGATGTCAGCTGTGTCAAAATCTGGATCAAATGCTGAGGAGGATTTTGACTTCTCTCACTTCCCTGATCAAGTTGACACTTTTGAAGTCTGACAATAATGGTAGAGTCAAACATAAAGACATCCTTTGAATAGTTGATCACCAGTAATTTCGAAAGAACAGAAAAGGAAGATGTGTAACATGAATTCTCCAAGGACGTCCTTTGCCTTTTAAATAAATGTTAAGCTTTTATTTGAAATTCCTCCAGGATCTCATTAATATCCCCGTGCCAGGTGGCCTTCTGTGCTAGAAGAGACTTTCTGTGTAAACAACATCTCTTTAAATGAGTTATTGATAACAGCTACTGTCCAATATTTTGCAACAAATGAGCTGCAATTGGCATCTTAACATTTCCCCGTGTCAAAGTGGCAGCAGCGTTTTGCAGGTGAACTTCTTAGCTATTGTTGCTCTAAAGATGTTCATGTGCTACCTCTTTATCTTATTACAAGTCAGAGCCCATTGATGGGCATGGGAGAGGATGGCCACATGGAAAAACATACAAGGCACATGTAACTTTAATACCTGTGGCAACCAGGAATTTCTGATTTTCTTGTCATGGAAGCTATCCCTGCTGAGATTCCCTGTTCCATAGTAATTGTGTACCATTAAGTCTATTCCAATTTATGGTGACCCTTTCCAGGGTTCATAAACCAGCCTCTATAGCCTCCACAGACAGTGGCTGGACATTTCCATAACCAGGGCTTGAAAAATTTTAGAATGTCTCAGCAGTCAGTCAAAAATTTCACTAGTTAGCATGACCGGACTATAGCCTTGCAACATATTGGGATTAGGAATCACTGATTTATACCCTCAGACTTGGGTTGTTTTATTACTTGCATGCCTGTGGGGTCATGAAGCTTGTATTTTGAATGCCTTTCTTTTGAATGTCTCCAGCAAAAATAAAACTGAAAGCAAAATCATCCAGCCTCTTCAGGAGCCACAGTTCCCTCCCACCCCAGGATGTATCCTCGTTCATTTGAAACTGGGGGCAGGGAATCTCCATATTCTCCAGCATGGGACTCCTCTACATTCTCCTATGTACCACTCAAACTCTCTTCTCGCGAGAAGAGGGCAGTTTTCCTTTTGCAATGGGAGGGGGGAGGGGAGGACTGAAGTTTTAGAGCAAGAGAGAGACAGTCAGAAGGGAAGGAGGCAGGCAGGCAGGGAGCTGTGACTTGTTGAACAGCATTTTCCACTTGTCACAGATGAGTGGACGAGTGCATTTTTCAAGCCCTGTCTATAATAGATGCTATTTCTTCCAATTTGTTACTTAACAAAAGGAAAAGCATTATGTTGACATAATTGTACGCATCCCAAACCTCATAAACATTTTTCTCTTCAAGATGAACCAAAATTGAATTGCCACAGGGGATAAGAACTCGTACATACATAAACAAGGGATGCCACTATGTCAAATGTGTTAAAAAGCACAATTTTTACACTCAGAGGAGTCTGACAGATACTAACAAGTGAACACAAGATAAAAAAAAAGATGTTGACTTGTCTACCAGATATAAATAAGTATTTTCCCTGCCTTTATTAGAAGAATATGCAATTGTTGCTTGACAACTTGGTGCCACAAGTTGGTTTCTGAGAATGATTGAAAGTAGATGGAATGCTTTAAATGATTTTGGTACAAAACAATGAGCTCATGATCCCTGTCTATTGTTTATATAGTAAAAGGTTGGTTTGTTTCTCTGGGAGAGATAAAGATGATATCTTGTAATTACCTCAGGACCATGCAAGCCTATCACAATCAATCAATATTACTTAGATCTTCTCTGGTGAAAATATATGTTATTCTTTCTAGAACACAGATGCCATATTCATACATGCAGTCCCCTTGCAATTCCAACAACATGGCGGATATGTGGCTGGATGGGAGGAAACAGCAGAGCTGTATTATGTAGCCGTACTCCATCTATCATGTCTTTTCTGATTGGCTGGAGAGATCTAAACAAGGAGTTTGCTCCTAATCAATAAACTTCCTCCCATATGATTTAGAACATTTATTGCATGTGGGTAGAGTATAGAACATAGAACACCTACATCCTGTGACTACAACTTCCAAAATTGTAGGATAAGTTCATGTCCTGTAATTAGCCCCCTCATGACCTTTCCAAACTCTTGTAGAAAACAGGTGGAACAGGCAATGGTGGAATGTCGCGAAGGAGAAATTTTCAGTCAGTGTAGCCTCACCCTGTCTCTTACTGAATGAACTATGAATTTCTCAAGACGGGTAATGAAAGAACTAGAAAGTGGAAACAGTATACTGGAAACCCTGGAATACCTTGGAAGTTTATCAAGGTTCCCTAATTAGAAGATCAGTTATGGTGGATCTTGAAAGACTGGTTGTCCACCATTATAAGTCTTTCCTCAAAGGACCCAGACAAACAGCTTTCCTCAAAGGCTTTCACGGCCGGGATCCGATGGTTGTTCTAAGTTTTTTGGGCTGTTTAAAGTGTTCTGGAGATTTTCTCCCTAACGTTTCGCCAGTCTCTTTGGCCGGCATCTTTAGAGGACAGGAGTTAAAACTCTGTCTGTGTTCTGGTGTAGTGTGTGGGATAGTTGAGTATTTGTAGCTGTGGGATCAGTTTTTTGTCCTTTTCAGGAGATTAGGTGATTATGGTCATCAAGGTGTTTTTTGTTATGAGTGTATTGTTGTGATAAGGTGGAGATGATCTGTCACTGTGATTGATGGGTGTTGTTAGCTAGTCTACACCCATCAAGCTGATTCCATAGCTACGAATACTCAACTATCCCACACAACTATGGCAAAACATTAGGAAGAAAAACCTCCAGAACATGCCCAAAAAACCTAGAACAACCAAACAGCTTTCCCTTTCAGCATTGTGGTTGTCATGTCAAATGGCAACCAATTTGGTAAAATCGATTCAAAACCAATAGTCTTTGGCCCAGTCAGATTTACAGAGTTTCTGCGTTGAGGTGCAAGAGCCCTTTTTATGGATCCCTAGCATCCTCACATTGTGCACAGAGATTTGTGCCAGTCTTTATGTTGTGAGGTTATATTATTTGGCATTCCCTAATAAACACATTCAGTATTTCAACGGACATTATATTTGGGATGTCATGAATTGTTTATGTTGCAATGCATATTTATTTATTTATTAGTTTTATTTATATGCCGCATTTCTCCCAAGAAGGGACCAAAAGTGGCTATGTTTGGAGGGTTATGAAGCTATGAAGTGTAGGAAAATAGGAAGCTGCCTTATACTGTGCCAGACTCTTGATCTATCTGGCCAGCTTTACCAGCCCTGGCTGGCAGCATCTCTCCAGGGTTTCAGGCAGGATTATTTCCTAACTTTACCTGAAGATGCCAGGAATCGAACCTGGGCCTATCTGCACGCAAAACACGTGCTCTACCAGCTGTTACATGTTGTTGGCGCTGAATAAAACAAGGCCTAATATTGTCCACACCAGCTTTGAGCTTAAGCATTTGCCTTATGGTCATAGATGATAAGGAGTTTCACATAGGTGAGCATGTTGAATTCCATTCAGCTGAGTATGTACAGAAACTCAAGCAAGCTGCCAGGGGAGGCAACCACCTCCTCTGTGCCCAGCAAACAAATATTGAGGTTAAAAGATAGATTTCCATCCTTCCTCTGCCAATCCTCAGCAGACTAGTAAAGTTGTTTGTACACTTATCAAGTGCTGTGCGTTTGCATAGCACACTGAACAGAATTCCCTCTCAAAATTGTAGAGGTGGGATGCATGTGTAATTTTTAGGAATTTTATAATAACAATAATAATCTTAGAACTGCAGAGCTGGAAAGGGACCCTATGGATCATCAAGTCCAGTCCCTCTCGAGGAGCCATAGTGGGGAATCAAACTTGCAACCTCTGCCAGATACCTGAACCTCTGAGCTATCCTTAGGGTAATTGTGGGCACCTTTGGAGAATCCAAGCCCAGTATTGCCAACCCTCCAGGAAGCTTCTGGAGTTTTCACCCATCTCATCTGCAAAACCAGAATAGACCTGAACCACTGCGTTACAGACTGGCACAGGAAGATGACAATATCATCTTTTTAGCTGTGTGGATTATAAAGGGAATATAAACCTTTATTGTTTTGTAGAAAGAAGGCCCAGGCCCTGGTGAATATGAAATAAGAGAAAGTCTGCCTGCACCTATTCGATCATGCTTCCTGTCCAAGGTGCCACGTCTGTTGCCATCTCATACTGTGAGTATAATTTAGGAAGGAAGTCAATACAAGATGTGTTCCATGTGCATAGATGGGAGAGGGAGAAACCAGTTTGGAAAGCTGGCCAGGCTGGTTTGGGTTTCTGAAAACCGTAATCCAAAACAGCAACTTTTCCACATTTGGGGCAGGTCTGTAGCCAAAAGGAAGAGGTTGTGAGCCCAAGTCAAGCTCAGTGTCATTCCAGTCAGTTGTTATCATGTGCAATCAAGTTGCATCCAGGCTATGGCAACTGTATTCATCAGTGATCTCCAAAATGTCCTGTCTTCAGCAACCCTGCTAAGTTCTTGGAAACTCAAGCCTGAGTCTTCCTTGATGGAGTCAATCCCTCTCATGTTGGGTCTTCCTCTTTTCCTATTGCCTTCAACTCCTTCCAGTCTTATTGTCTTTTGCATCAAATCTTTCCTTCTCACAGTGTGCCCAAACTATGACAATTTCATTATTTTTGCCTCCAGAGAAAGTTCAGAATTGATTTGATCTAGGACACTTCTCTTTTTTTCCTGGCAGTCCAGGGTACCTGCAAAGCTCTCCTCAAGCACCATATTTCAGATGAATCTTTTTTTTTTCTTTTCAACTTTCTTCTCTTACTTTTGCATTCATACATAGTAATTGCAAATACAATAGTGTGAATGATCTTGTTGTTTTCCTCCAGTGACAAATCTTTATACTTGATGATATTTTTCTAATTCCTTCATTGCTCCCCTTCTGAGTCTCAGTCATCTTCTGATTTCTATTGTGGTATATAGATCGGTCTTCTGAAGATTTTTTGTGCACTCTAACAGCCAGCAGATATTTGGAATCTGATCTCAAGTTCTTCTTCCTTTATGAAATCCAGCTTGAACATCAGGCATTTTTTCACTCCATGTAAGATAAAAGCCTTTGTTGCAACACCCTGAGCATCACTTTGCTTGCAAAGGAATTTAGACCAATGGGCCTATAGTTACTGCACTCTTTGGCATCACTTGGGGATTGGAATGTATACTGAACACTTGCAGTCTGCAAGCCATTTTTTTCTGTCTTGGTTGGCATATTCTTGTTAGGATTTTGACAGATTTTTGTCTTTGTGGCTTGAGATAGTTCTTTTGGTCCACTATATACCCCTGGTTATTCATTTCATCCCAGTGATTTCAGAAAAGCTTTCATTTCACTTTCTAGAATTTCAGATTCTTCATAGTAGGATTTCTCTTCAAAGGAATCTGTCATTCCTTTAGTTCTTCTGTATAGTTGCTTTTCCACTACCTTCCAGGAGGCAGTGGAAGACAGGAGGGCCTGGCGTGCTCTGGTCCGTGGGGTCACGAAGAGTCAGACACGACTTAACAACTAAACAACAACAAAATAGTTGCTCAGTTTACTGTTTCCACATTCTCTTTATTTGATCCTGATCAAATAGTGTGCTTCTCTTTTGGTCTTTTAGCATTCCTAATCCAGTCTAAAATTTCCATTTAATTTCTTGGATCTTTTGGAAGAGATCTCTTGTTTTTCCTTTTTTATTTTTCCCTTCTGTTTCTTTACACTGACCATTGTAATAGTTCGCTTTGTCTCTATGTAACAGTTGCTGAAAAGCTATATTGAGCATTTGGACTGAAATACAGTTAACATTTACTTTTGATTCTCGCTTGTCCTTAACAATTTTAAGTGTTTCTTCCATCATCCACCTAGGAGTTTACATAAGAGTTGTCTTACTTAAAAGCAATTAATATCATGACCCTACTCTAGTTGAGACAAGCAATGAAATGTAGTTTGTTGTATTTATATGTGGAACCTGTAGATTATTAGAGCAAGGGCATAAAAGAGGGGTTAATAGAGAAGTGCTGGCAGAATTGCTCAGTGGTTTAAGTATCTGGCTACAGAGTCAGAGGCTGGTTCCCCACTAGGCTCCCGTGAGAAGAGAAAGTCTGTGTGGATCCGGGCAGGTTGCACTGTCCCAGGATGTCCCCATAGGAAGGGAATAGTAAACCACTTCTGAGTATTCTGTATCTGCAAAACCCTGAAAAGGTCTCCATAAGTCAGAATTGACTTGACAGCGCATGATTAATAGAGAATAGATTGGAAAGAAAAATGCTAATTTAAAATAGGAACAGGCATGCTTTCTTAGAGCTAACCTAATGTTGCAAATGTCAAAGGAGCCATCAATGTGATTGCATCTGTTCCTCTTGTCTCTGTTGCTTCACCATACGGAAGCCTGTTTGCATTCATTGCTTGTTTCTCTTTCTATACAGAAAGTACCTGGTCCGGGAATGTATTGGCCGACAAAGCAGGTTCCAAAACAGCCTAGAACGATTGCCAGTATGGGACGGGAGCACACCATCTTCTTCAGCAATGTTCCTGAGCTTTAGAATCTAGGGTGGTGTAGATATACTGAATTTTACAAGTGTTGATTTTGAAACCAGGCCCATGCCTTCTCCATTGTCTATTTCTTGTTCTCCAAGCGTATACTTCATCACTCTTCTTTTATGTACAGCAAGGAACATTCACAGCAAAATAACAGATCAGGACAAAACTCAGCAATACCATTGCTGTTCCCTGTTTCAAAGAAGTAAGCATTCCTCTGGAGGATCATTGAACAGAGTTATTCTTATAGCCTTAATTCTAAGATCAAGTAACTTGATGTAAAGTTTCCTTATCAGAGGACTGAATGTACAATATTCCTTCACCAAATGGGTTCTTTAAGAGATGTTCATAGCCAAGAGGTGTTCAACGGTGCAGTGTTGTCTCGGCATGTTGCACAAATTAAAGGATACCAAACAGAATCAGTACCACCTGTATCCTTTTGTCTGATTAATTTTCTCTGTTTCAGTTTCTCGGTACATGCCAGGTGCCAGATTTGTTTGCACCAATTCTTGTGAGAGAGTTAAGTTCCTTCATTTCATGTTCTGTCTATTTCTTGTCTTCATCACTAGCTACAGTAAGCTTGCAAGGATGCTGGCAGACACTGGCCAGAATCCTGCTGCTTATGTCTTTGATGCTGATCTCTGAGTGGGTGTATGTGTGCTAGTGCTCACTAATAGTATAATATTATCTGGTTTCCAGGCTTAAAATACCAAATACTGTGGCCAGAAACAGATATTATAAATAAGCCATAATTAAAGCTGGAAGCACTTCATCAATAGTGATGCAGATGAAAAAGGGAGATTGTCCATGTTTGTGACATGAGACTTAAAAGGAACCCCATGAATAAATCCTGAAGACTGATTACGAAGCGAAAAAAACTAATTTGCTCGATACTGTAGGTATCTCATGCTTTAAAACTCAGGGCCTGTTCAGACTGGCTGTTTCGGCATACTCCTATCTAAACAGCAAATGACCCATTGTAGCCCAATCAACTGTCAGTTGAGTGATTCCACAGTGTTCAGACTGGCTGTTTCGGCATACTCCTCCTATCTAAACAGCAAATTACCCGTTGTAGCCCAATCAACTGTCAATTGAGTGATTCCACAAATATCTGCAGAGGGTCAGGGGAAATGAAATTATTTTTTGTATTGCTCCTCTCTCTCTCTCTCAGTGCTATTCTGCTTTCTCCCATACCTCTTCTCTGCTTCTCTTCCCATCTTTTCCCCATCTCCTTACTGTCTTGCTCAGAATTTGCAGCCACCATGAGATTTGGAAGCTGAGATTTCTAGAGGTTGCTATTTCCCAGCTAAATGATGAGCATGCCAAAAAGAGTTCATGCCGTACCACTCAGCCAGAAAGGTGTGTGACAGCTCTTAAAGAGGAAGGATGGCTCTTAAAGGGGAAAGAAACACATGTGGAGTAGAGATGGGGGTACAGTATTTGTATTCATATACGAATATCCCTGCACAGCTGGACTTAATGAGGGCCTGGGGCCGGACCATCCACTCACGCACACTGCATCAGCATTGGCCTCATTCATCCTTCCAGTCACTCCCAGAGCACCACTCTCTTCCTGCTCAGCTAGCCACTCAGCAGCCATACAGGGAGACTCGTCCTTCCTCCCCCTGCCTGGAGTGGCTAGCCGAGCAGGAAGAGAGTGGTGCTCTGGGAGTGTTATCTAGCTGCGTGGGGATATTATTTGTATACTAATACCCCCATCTCTAATGTAGATACAGTGTGTTTTCAATTCCAAACAGTGCCCTCAGCAATTCATATATCTATATGCCAGTGTAGAAACCCTCACAGACTCACATTAGTTGAGAATTTCCTTTTTCCAATCCTAGGCTATCTCTAACATCAGACATTACACTCTCCTCTTTCTGGAGCAGATTTTCAAGGGACATGGATAGCAACAGAGAGAAGAAAACTTGGTGAATATAACCGCTTTTAGTCCTTCAGTGGAAAAGCTCCATTGGGACAAAAGCTTCCGACGGAAAAGACCCTTCCAAATTGTTCTTTAGCCACTATACAGTATTTTATCTATGGTAGTAAATTGCTCTTGAACTACATTTCTCTCAAACTTTGCCCTAGTAAGGTGTAATTTCAGTCAGCAAAGACATTCAGCAGGAAGCAAGTAACTCATAAATGAAATAAAGTCTTTCAAGATTATAGAGCATTATCAGAGGGAATCGTGAGAACCAACTTTTCAAAATAAGGTACAGTCTTTTACTGATCCTTATTACCATTTTATTGCTTGCTGACTTAATCATTCCTGTCCCTTGTCTCCAGAAGTGCCATTAAATTTCATTAACTTGAAAGCAAGCATCAAAGTTCAGCAAGGCATTGCCAGCTGATCTCATCAGCACTTCTCTGGTCTAGTGTCAAGTACTGATACCTGTGTGTGCCAGAAAGTTTTTGAGAAGCTGCTTATGGATTTCTTAGGAAGAAAAAGGTTCTGGTGGCATTGTAACAATGTGGGAGAATTTTGACACGTTTGTAGTATTTCACTGAAAACAAAAGTCTAGAGGAGAGGAAATGTTAACTCCCAGAGGGTCATACCCACCCACACAAAGTATTTGTGGCCCTGGGGGCCTCTCCCAGATACCCCCAACTGTCATGATGGAAGTAACTTTTCACCTTAAAATCTAGATTAGCTTCCAGGATATCTGCTTTTCCTCAAAAAAGATATGAGGACTGATTTTAAGCTCCTCCCCAATATTTGGTGTTTTCTTCAAAATTGGGACTGATTTTAAATCCAGTTTAAAAGAACACCCAACTGATCTCCAGCTATCCAGACTGTGCTCACCCCAAACTGAAAAATTGTCATAGTGCAAAATCCTAAGAAGCTCTAAAATCCACCTTGGAAATTTTACTTTTTGACAATAACTTTCAGAATGCCCTCAGACAACATGGCCTGTGGCTGACTGGGGAATTCTGGGAGTTGGCATCTAAAAAGTAACTTTTCTAGACTCTGGCCTAAATGACAGGTGACACTGGAGATCCATGGCTGGATGTTCCATTCATTGAGAAGCAGCTGCGAGAAAGGAAGAAGCTAGACTGGAGGAGAGGTTTGGAGAAAAGGGGTGTTTGGATGCTCCTCTGTACAGTACTATTTTCCTGCTCTAAATGGGCCTGGACGTTGAGGTTGGCAGTGGAAAGGGAATGATGCCCCACCCCACTACAGCCAACATCAACTTTGGAGAGGTAAGAGTGAGCATGGAAATAGCACTGGGCAAGTGTTAAAACTACAGTTGAATAGTAAGAAGACAGAAACCATGTCTGCAGAAGAACTACATAATTTTTATGTTGATAATAAAGAAATTGAAATAGTTCAAGATTTTGTATTCCTCCATTCAGTCATCAATCCAAATGGATACTGCTGCCAAGAAATCAGAAGAGGGCTGTATTAATGAGACATAGAGGAAAAAGAGAAAATAGGGAGTGAGCCGTCCCCGCCACAAAAAATATCCACGTGAGGTGCGATAGATAAAAAGGATGAGACATTGAGAGGAGTGGAGAATGTAGAAGAAATAGGAAAGAGAGAATTGAATGAGATACTTTTTTACTTTACCTTTATTAGATTTTTACCCCGCCCCCCCTAGACAAAGTCTACTCGGGGCGGCTTACACACATAATAAAAACGTCACAATATAACAAATAACATAAAATCATATAAAACATCATAATTTGACACTTATTTTAAGTCATAGCTAAGATGAAATAGTTTAAAAAGATAAAGACTAAAGATCAGTTAATTGACTGGAGGGCAAGATAAAGATCAGTTAATTGACCTTGGAAGCAAGATAAAAGAGAAGATTGAGGTTTGTTTAGTGGAGGAGAAAGAGGGAGAAAAGGGGGAGGAGTCCATCTTGCTAGTCTGGAGAAGGGGAGGAGAGAATTCAGGAGAAAGGAAAGATTGGAGTGTGAAAGGAGATAAGGAGAGTGACAAGGAATATGATAGGATGAGAAGTTTAATGGAAGACTTTCCGAATTTAAAGATGGGAGGACTATTACCAAATCCAGACAATACCAAGCTGAAAGACATCCCACTGGATCCATTGGAATGGATAGTGGTAGTGTACCCAAGAGGACAGGGTTGCTGGAAGAAGGTGGTCTGGCCGGATTCCTCATTCAGTCACCCACCTCTGGAAGGCGACTGGGCCAGGCATCCCTGTTGTGGGACCATTTGGGCAGTGAGGACCACCCCTCTGCGAAAACCAACTGACCGTGAGCGTTCTGGGCCAGCCTCTTCTTAAATCACACCGATGCAAAAACAGGACTATTGATACCTTGTTATGGACAGTTAGATAATATCAGTTTAATGGAACCAGTTGAAGTAATTGTTGATTCACCAAATGTTCAGAGTAATAAAACTGTTAATGTTCATAAAGAGACTCCCTCATTATTTCCCACCAAAAGAGAGGGACTGCATCCAAATTATAACAAACCTAATCACAGACTGAGACTCAGAAGGGCAGCAATGTGGGAACTGGAAGAGATCCTCAAATGTAAGAATGTGTCATGGAGACCAAGTTAAGATGATACATGCTACGGTATTTCCAATTACTATGTATGGAAGAGACAAGGCAGATCTGATACTGTAAATGGTTGTCCGTTTTTCTTTTGAATGCCTCTATTGCTGGAGGCTCACCACCTCCTGAGTTAATCGGTTCCATTGTTGTACTGCTCAAATAGTTAAGAGTTTTTTCCTGATATTCAGCCTAAATCTGGCTTCCTATAGCTTGAGTCCATTATTATGTGTCCTGTACTCTGGGATGATTAAGAATAGATCCTGCCCCTCCTTTGTATCCTGTCCTTCCTTGAAAGGTAGTATTTGAAAAATGCTATTATATCTCCTCTCAGTCTTTTTTTTCTCTCAAGGCTAAACACATTCAGTTCTTTTAGTTTTTCCTCATAGGACTTGGTTTCCAGTCCGCTTGCCTACACTGAGGCTACTGTTCTTTGGGCACATCATGAGAAGACAGACTTGTTGGAAAGGTAATAGTGCTGGGAAAGACCAAAGTATATTTGTATATAATATATAGAAAACTCATTATACATTGAGTCTGCAAGAACTGAGCAGGGCTGTTGAGGACAGAACATTTTGGAGATCACCAATTCAGAGGGTCGCCGTAAGTCAGAAGCAACTTGATGGCAAATAACATGTTAAGCACCTTCTCGCCAAGCTTTGCACCTGTGTCAGTAAATCAAAATATGAGGAGGTCTAACTGTAGTTTTCCTGATAGAGCTTGGAAAAGTTACTTTTAGGGGCTTGTATCTCCTAGAATTCCCCAGCTGCCAAGGCCAGGACCATAATAATGCAGTATTGGTTTATGTCTACAGAGGTTCTTACTGCATCCTATCCACTGATTTGATGTTACAGTAAACAGCTTGAGGCTTTCCTGGAGGCG